GCATTGGCACTCGCCCTCCAATATCTCAGCCAGGGTGCTCGAGCTCGTCATCCAGCCGGTCTCCTCGCGGACGGATGCCGCGCGGCCATCAGGTCGATGCGACGTGAGACCCCGGCGGCGCATGGGGCCGCGCACCTGGTGCGCGACAGGCAATGCCAGAACGCGTTGCACGCGAGGTCTCGGCCATGATGAAGCGGACCGAGGATGCTCGCGAAGGAAGAGCTTGCCTCTCTGATATCGTCGATCACGCACCTGCATCGAGAACTCCAGGCGCGATTCGCCCTCTAGGGTCTCCTGCGCCGCGGCCTCAGGGCCCCGCGTGGGATCGCCCAGCGCCCGCAGCAAACTGAGCGCGGTGCGGGGGGGGGGGGGGGCGCCGTGAGCAGCGGGTCCTGCGTGCGCAGCTGCTCCGCGCAATCTCCGCGATCCCCCCCCAAACTGACGCCCAACCCGGCGGCGGGATCCGCTGCGAGCCCAGCCGACAGGCCTCCCAGCAGCCATCTTCTTGAAGCGCTCGGGAGAGTAGGCCTCCGCCAGGTCAACTTCATTCATCTCCGTCAGCTTTCTAGCCAGATCCTGCAGCTCCTCGCGCGATTGCTCGCTCTCGCCGAGCAAGTCTGTCGCGCTCACTAACGCCAGAAAAACGTTGTAGATGAAGCCACTGACGATGTCAGAACCACTCAAGCCCAGGTTCATGCCGTTCTCGATCGCCGGCCCCGCCAGGTCCTCCATGTCGCCCGGGGCCGCAGCTGCCGCTGCTTCTGCTGCTGCTGCTGCTGCTGCTGCTTTCCGGGATCCACTTGGTGACCCAGCACCTGCCGGCTGAGACGCGTCCGTCTCCAGCCCCGAATCCACGGCCATTCAGTCCTGGACCGCATCTGCACTGGCTGCAATCTTGCGGGCCGACGCCGCAGGGCCTCGTCGATGTACTTCTCGACCCTCGATCGGGTCTCGCTCGCAGCCCTCTCGCGAGCTCCCGCTGGCTCCGCCGCCGCCCTGGGCGGCCCCGCGCCGCTGCCAGCCGCTGCGCCCTGGGCTGGCGAGGCCAAGGCCGAGGCTGGCTCGGCCGCGGCAGCTCCTCCAGGCGGGGCAGCTTGGCCAGCTCCGGCCGCCTGCCCATCTTGAGCGCTGACCCGCAGATGATGCCCAGCCAACCTCGCACGGCCGCCCTCATCCTTCATGAGCTCCTCCTCGATGCGGTCGCGGCACTCTTGCGAATGCGCCAAACTCGCAGATCCCCCGAACATCGAATCCCAGCGTCCCCTCGTGCATCTCAATATCCCGCTTCAGCGCGTAGCGCATCCTGACCGCAGCGTCGCGCCCCTCTTGCCTGCGGGCCGAAAGGCGCAGAGGCCCCCGAGGTCCCGCATGCTCAACTCCAGGGCAGACCTCCCGGGGCACGCCCTTGAGCTGCGCCCAGTCGTCAGAAAGCCAAGTCTGCCGCTTCGGCAGCCGCTTGAAACCCTGAGATCTGGCGACGCCGCTCGCGCCCATGATCAGGAGAGCTCCCGCGGATGGTAGCCCACGAAATGTCCAGCGAGCATCTTGGGCGCCAGGGCGCTGCAAAAATCTCCGATCCAAAACGGCCTTTGAAAGACGCGCTCGCCAAACTGCGCTGCAGACTTCCTCCAGGGCCGTCCACTTCGGCGCGCTTCAGCAGCGAGTCCGCCCGTGCCGATCCTGAACTTGGTGGTCGAGTCTGCCGAACTGGGGAAGCCACTTGGCGATCGGGCGATCGGGGACAGCCTCGAATCCAAGCGCGCCGCTGAGGGTAAAAGAGTTCGCCCTGATCGCCCTCTTCGTCCCTCTGACTGCGACCTCCACCTCCCCGTTGCCCCCCTGCTCGCCCCCGGGCGACTCCGCGGGCGCGCGCTCGATCTGCTGGTCCGCGGCGACGATCGCATCGTTCTTGATAGCGCAGAGGCTCGACTCGCCATCGGACTCGACATAGATGCGTCGATGGCCCAAATGCTTCGAAAACCTGACGAAGCCGTTGGCTATGAAATTAGACGCCGTCTTGTCCTGCGCGGCCGCGGCGCCCCACGCCTTGAAGGGGCGCTCTGTCGCCGCCGGGGTGGGCGTCGAATCTGGGCCCTCGACGCATGTCGCCTTCTCACCGATGAAGGCGAAGTCGGCGCTGGCCACTGGGCCCTCTGAATCCCGATTACGATCTGCTTGCCTATGCTGATTGATCGTCGGAGCCAGCGGCCATGGCGCAATCCTCGCACCGCGATCGGAATACTGTATGGCCTGATGTCATGTGGTTGTCTATCCCGTTACGCCTCGGTCCTCTGTTGCGTGACTAGAGGCGCGGAGGCGCAACCTCTGGCGCCTGCCCCTCCTCGTGGCCCTCGTCTCCTCTCGCTGCCGCTCGGCCCGGGCCCCTGGCCAGAGCGCCTGCGGCGGCCGGACTCGCGGGCCCGAGGCTGGGCCCCCGCGAAACGGACAAAGAGCAAGCGGTCCTTCTCCGAAACGGACACGCCGATCATCATGTCCCCCGCTTCTGTTCAAGTAGTCCACGTGCGCTCCATTCTCGACGCGTAGCGGCGTCGTGCCATTCTCGTGCCAGATAGCCTCCTCTACCAACTCGCTGACGCGATGAACCACCTCCGACTCTTCCGGTAAAATGCCCCCCCGCGACGCAGTCAACCGCGCAGCTCTCCTAGTCTGGCGTGCCTGGCGTGCTGAAACAAACGGCCTTTGAATATCGGCCAATCTCCTTTTCTGGCCTTCGACTCTGATGGCCCCAATGTCTGGAATGACCTCTCCCGATGCTGCGCGATAGCTGGTGCTCGAATATGCCTCGCTCTTCTGCCCCTTCATCTTGGAGGGAAAGGTCG